GGCAATACAGTCCGGAAACAACCCTCGTGAGCAGGGTTCGACGAGTAGCTGTAGACGGTTCTACAAGGTGCTTTTAAACTCCATGGAGGTATCAGCGGCGACGGGCTGATTGCAGCTACAGGATAGCAACAAAAAGGGAGAAATGACGGAAACATTCGATTCAACGCCAGTAAAGGATCGACAGCCTATCTTGAAGCTTGCCGTAGCAATACAGGTTGGTTGGAGGTCATTGCAGCTTCCATGGCTTCCCCTCCATCATCCAATGGGCCCATTCAAGAACTAACCCAAGCTGTGGAGTCACAGACGGTACTCGTTCTCCAGCAACTCGACGAAAACAAATGCATTCTGCAGATACAGTTGGCATTGATGCAATAATTGAAAAAGCAGTAGATAAAAAGCAGCAATCACGGGAGGAATACAGGCAATGGCAAAATTTTACTGCTGCTGAAGAAACTTGTGAGGGAAGATATCAGGACTGGTAACAGTACTGCAAACCCCATACCTTACCTTGCTTTCAGGGAGATATGCTTGAATGTTTAGGGCCGTACAGTGGCTTGAACGGCGAAAGATATACCTTGACATCGTCAATTCGACTATGGTGAGTCATATAATGTGGAAACCTTCGCGATACTGTACAACCGAAGTGAAAAAGAGTCAGTCTAGGCAAATTTGGCTCCGCGGGCGAGGATACACTTCAAGTTAGCATCATGCGTGGCAGGAACGGATGTGAAAAAGCGACGTAGTAGCTGGCAATATCGCTATCGCTGTGGCGAAAGTGGTACTGGAAAGTATTGCCTTCAAACTGACACCACTGTACGTGATATTCATTGTATGTTACTCATTCCGATTGCCAAACTGACTAAAATTATTGTTGCGTATTATTAGTCTGCCAGTAATTTTTCCTTGACTTGACAGGCTCCCAAGTCACCACCACTGCCATCGTTGTGTAGAAGCATTTCGTCGAGCATGCTGTTGTTGTGGTGGAGTGGGGTTCGCAAAATCGCGTTGCGATCCACTCGGACACACAGTGCCCTGGACTGCCGACTGACGGAGGGGGTACTCCGATAACC